GATTGTCACTGTCAGAATCAAAATCAGAAATCACTAAGACGAAATACTTTGGCGATTGTACTGCAGAGAGTATAACAAAAGCGAAAGAGGGGAATAATGATCACTTTATAAGATTTAAGACTTTTCATCGATCTTCGCCAAATTTTACATATGTACACTTGAAGACAGTGTTTCCCAATATGGAGCCCCTCAAATTGCTCCCCTGCAAGGCGTGGGCCCCACAAAATGTCAAACATTTTTTAATTACTCTTCCTTTTTATTTGTAACGTAATGAAAGTTTCCAATCCAAAATTTCCAAAAATGCACATCTGAAAGTAATAAGTTTCCCTGTTTCCGACTTTTTTAACAAACGACCAGATGCTAAGACATCTATTACCTATGGTGCTGGAAAAAAAGCATCGGTGAGTCTGAACGCGCCGAAACAGTAGGTCCGTGCGGGCCGTGAAAGAATTTGGTATAAAGTTGCCGGATAGACCGGTACAAACCGGGCTTTTCACTGCCGTGAAAGAGCGCGTCGGGGATGAGAGGGCGAATCGTCTCTTCTCGACGATGCTGACAAAAGGCGACGGCGGCAGGGCCGCCAGCCGTGCGCTACAAAAGAGACGCTCCCGCTCGGCGTGTAGTGCTCAGTGCGTATAAACGGTCTCGGCAATTCTGCTCGACTACCATCAACTGCGATGGCTAGACAGCTCCTGTCTGATCGCAACGATCATTCGTATCGCTGTCTATACTCGATAGAAAATTGCGCGCAACGACACACGATTTTGATCGAATCGTCGAACGATACATTATACGTCGTACCGATTATCACGTCATAATTCAACGAAGCCATGTAACAATGATGGTGTCTCGACTCATGTCATCACTTCTCTACTAAGTTTGTAGAAAACCTGTAGATTACGTCTGATTACGTCATTAACCCTTTGCACTCGAGCGGCGCCGCTACGGAGCCCGGCACGAAAACTAATTACAAACTGTAATATTTAACAGATTTTGTTGTATTCAATAAAAATGAAAAAATTGGTAAAATTTTATTATTTGTATACGTT